ATTCAGAAATTCAGAAATTCAGAAATTCAGAAATTCAGAAATTCAGAAATTCAGAAATTCAGAAATTCAGAAATTCAGAAATTCAGAAATTCAGAAATTCAGAAATTCAGAAATTCAGAAATTCAGAAATTCAGAAATTCAGAAAATCTCAAATTCAGAAATTCAGAAAATCTCAAATTCAGAAATTCAGAAATTCAGAAATTCAGAAATTCAAAAAACTCAAAACGAAATGCAGAATATTATTGAAAGTGGGTCGAAATTTTGCATGTCATAAAACCTGAAAAATGGGCGGAGTCATATTTTTTGAAATTCAAAACTTCAAATTCATACGAAACTTTAGACCTGAAAAAAAGTTGAAATTTCAAATCATCTGCGTCATTTGGAAATCGAAAATTTTAAAAAATATGCACATAACAAGAGAAAAGAAGCAAACTGCATATTTTTAATTTTCTAAAGTGTCCAAACTCCTTTTTTTTGTTTATTTAGTGGAAATTTGAAAAAAGAAGTTTCAAGTTTCAGCAAAAAAGTTTGATCTTTTGTTGGACAATAGAAAATCGGGAATTTAAATAAAATATCAGGAATTTTGAACGGGAAATCTGTTGGAAAGTGAACAATTATTGACGAGAGCCAGTTTCCATCGGTGGGCGCGAATAGTGAGGTCTTGGCAAACGCGCTCTGGCGAACTGCAGGAGTTTCTAGGTGCTTCCGGAGGGCTGCAAACTTTTAGAGACCTGCAGAGAGCTCTAGATGCGATTTCAGATGCTTCCAAATCCCCTTTATGTCACCACAGCGATTTTCAGGATACTGTAAAACCTGCAATAGAAGGTTCCTTAACTTTGAGCCCAATTATCTCAGTTTCTGTAGTAGATATCAAGAAGTGGTCGACTGAAAAATGTTAATTAAAGGAGGCGAGACAGCAAAAATTTCGGGGGAAGTTCGGGGGACGAAATCGCGCCGCGCTTATGTAGACCATCGGTCGTCAGGCGCCTTCGCGCCCCCGTAGTTCAGCCGGTAGCGGCGCTGTACCCCTGAACTGCCTGTCATGAGTTCAACCGCTCATGGGGGTTCTCTATGCAAAATATCAGGAAAACTTTGTTTTTTTGGTGTCTGGCCTCCTTTAAATTATGATGAACAATTTATCAGTGGTCACTTTTTTATTATCTTTCACAGGAATCGAGATTATTGGGTCAAAGTTGAAAGTCAGGTTTAACGATAGATGCAAAACTACCAACTGCGTAGTTTCACAGAGAATCGGTATTTTTGAACTAACTAAAATGGATTAGATAGAACTTGACAAGGACTGCAAGATGATGTTATTCACAAACTTGTAGCTAATCTATGAACAAAGTTACAGGTCAAATAAACTTTTGTATTCATTGTTGCAGCTTATTGGCTGTAACTTTGTTCATACACGAGATTCAGCTTTAGAAGTTGTATCATTTTGTAGTACTTGACAAGTTCTATACCATCGATTTTAGTTGGTTAAAAAATATTGAGCCTGTGAGCAGCTACTCCGTTTGTAATATTGCGACTATGCTAAAAATCACCGTGAAAGCTTCTGGAGGCTTTTTTTCCAAGTTTCAGGTGTCTTTAGCAGGTTGTCTAGTTTCCGACACCACTGTGAAAACTTTGGAGAGTTTAAAACAGACCTAGATCAAAAACTTTGCATTCACATAATTTTTAAAAAACTCCCTTTATTCGTGACTTCTGAAATAAAAAAAAACACGCATTTCTGGCTAATTTTTGTACTGAAAACGAGACAAAAGGTGTCTTTCAGAAATCTGAAAAAAAAACAATTTTTCCAAAAATTCTGTGAATGCAAATTTTTCAATTTGGGTCTGGTTTATCTATTTTAACGCAATTACAGTCAATCAACATTAGGTCGCGCCCCCATCATTTTTTTTCCACGTTGGAAGATCCACGTATTGAGAAAAAATCAGTTCCCTGGAAAATCCCACCCTTCAAACTTTATTGTTGGATAATTTTCACTGGCACCTTCTCACTGGCAAGAAGCTCTTTACATTACGCTGCTTATTGTTGTTTCTTTTCTTTTATCTGTCGATTGGTCCGATGCGAGAAAAGTACTAAAAGGCCCTAAGGGTCGCCATGTTTCGGGGTTCATGGCTAGGTGTTTTATCACTGAACGTCCCCCAGTAGCAAGAGATTTTATCAAAGATTGAAAAAATTGAGACAACAATAAAAAACGGTATACAATGTGGCTTCTTATCAGGGCAGAGGGAGCTTTTGAAAATTAACCGACAATGGTCTCCGAAAAGAGGGTTTTTTCGGGTGACTGCTTGTTTTTTTTTGTTGGGGGTTGGGGACCCCTCTCTCCACCCCCTATAACTTTTAGAAGGTGATCCCATTGGTCAAATAAACCTTGTTTCCCTTTCATGTACTGAGCCTCTACATGACGAACGGGATCATCAGACGAAAGTCTGGCAAATCAGTACAAATTTGAAACTTGTTATTTTTAATAAATACTATTTCTCATAAAAACCGTGTTTTTCAGTTGATTTAAGCTATTTTGAATTTCAGTATATCAGAATTTGCGGATTTCAGAATTGTTGAATTTCACCTTTTTTTAGTTTCTGAATTTCTGAACATAAGGGTTTCAGAGTTTCAAAATTTCGCAATTACAGAACTTCAGAATTTCCGGATTTCATAATTTCAAAATTCCGCAATTTCAGAATTTCTGGATTTCAAAATATCAGAATTTCAGAATGTTAGAATTTCCGGAATTCGTTATTTTAAAACTTTAGTGTTTCAGAATTTTAGAATCTCAAAATTTGACAATTTCAGTATTTCGGAGTTTTAGAATGATTGAAATTCAGAATTTCAGAATTTCAAAGTTCCAGAACTTCAATATTTCCGAATTCCAGAATTTTAGAATTTCAGAATCTTCAAATTTCAAAAAAAAACATCGACCTTAGAACCAAACATCACGGTCTGCCTGAATTTGTGTTCTTCTGGGAAAAATCAATCAATTGTAAACTTCTATTGATTTTAAAGTCAATATTTTCTAGGTTCTACACTTCACACCTGGTTTGTTCCACCTGGTTACGTCTTCTACCTTGTCGTCTTACGACCACTCTTATTCTTTTCGTTATCTTATTCTGTATTCTTCCCTTTTTAATAATATCTCTTGTGTATTGATTTTTATGCAAATCAATTTATTTTGTTTCTGATCTACAGTACCGGTCAATAATATGTATATACAAATCTTTGTTAATTTTCGGTTATTCTCAAGAGTCTGGACCTCAGCTGTCCAATTTCCGATCACTTTGGAAATTTTGTAGGGTATAAAACATACATAGATTGAAAACTTTACACTCACAGAATTGTTAGAAAATTCCTACTATTTAGCATTCAAAATTGTTTTTGTTTATTCCGAACCTCTGAAAGTTTGTTCAACCTTCTTCATTTTTTCAGAACAATCCTCCCTAAAAATAATGTTTCCAACCTTATTCCAACTCGCTGCCAAGTCAGCTGCTCAAGGGATTCATAATGGTAATAACCACTAATTAACTAATTATCACAATTTAATTTTCATTTCAGATAATATTCCAATCGATTTCAGTTCGGATACAAAATCCAGTAACGCAGTAGTCAGAGAGCTTTTAGAGTTGGATCCGAAGAATATTGAAAAACTAAAAACGCATAAAAATCAGCTATCAAGATTGAGAGAACTGGATTTGAGAAAGTGTGAAATTGATGGAGAAGGAATTTCGAATTTGAAAAATTTCACATTGAATTCACTGGATTTCGGAGAGTTGCACCATTTGAAGGCGAAATTTCCAGTACCAATATGTAAAAAAAGTTTCTGAAAACATTGTAAAAATTTCAATTTTTCAGATTATGGTAGAATCAACATTGTGAGTTTATTGGAGAGAGCACTGAATGCTCATTCACAAGAAATGATAATCCATTTGGGATTTTCTGGCATGGAGGAGTTCCAAATTGGGTGGGAGGAAAAGGTGAGTATTTGGTACTTTTTTTTTTAATCAAGAATTTTTGAAACCCAAAATTTTCTACGATTTGAAAGTGGAAAATGTGAAACTTGAGAAAAAAGGAATACATAAATTTGTTCTATAGATTTGTTCTATACATATTACAGATCTCCAAACTTCTCCCATCTCTCCAAAGCATCAAAATCATCCACAAGGTATTCAGCGAACCATGTGGATTCTCAAATCTCTGTATCTCGTTTCCAAACCTTCGAACCTTGGATATTTCTTCCGCGAGATGTGTATCAACTTTGAAAGGAATACAAAATATCAAAAGTCTACAAAAACTAGTGATGCGTAATGTAAGAATCGAAGACAGTGATGGGTACAAAGAGTTGTCCGAATTGAAGAACTTAAGGGTTTTGGTTGTTTCGGATGAAGAGTGAGTTTACTACTTTCGAGGACCGGAACGAGATGCCTACGAGGCGCAATTCCCTAAACTTCTTGCCGACTATTTCGTGAAAATTCCAAATTGTAATTTTTTCAGTAATCGCAACGTAAACAGTAGGGTTCGGGTGATTAGAAGTCTATTGCAAGCTGAGGTCCGAATGCCAAGTTTGGAGTTTCTAGACTGTTCGATGACATCTGTCGAGGATCATGAACTGAAATTATTTGTAGAGCATCATCCATCATTGAAGACTGTTGTGGCCATATGTAAGTCTAGCTTCTCTAACAAGAGAAGTCCGGACAATACCGAATTAAAATATGAGTATGAAAACTTTCTTTTTCAGCCACAAGGTGTGAAAATTCACATATTTCAACCATCAACCTTCTGAATTGCCTTACAACTCATTCTACTATGAAGTCTCTGGAATACGCAATCTCAAATGATAGAGATCGATTGGCTGAAAGTTGCATAGTTTTCATAGGGAAAAAACTAAACATAATTCACAACCAATTGAAAGATTCTGAAATCAGCGAATTCTTGAATACACTGTGCTACGTTTTAAAAGAATCGAAAAACGATATGGTGAAGGCGTTCGCAATTTCCTGTTTTTCCATTGCGAGTTTCTTTGGGTAAGTTTGAAAGGAAATTTGAAATATTCTGAAGCATTTTTATTTTCAGAACTGAACGTTTCATCGAATTGTTTTGGCTGGAGACTCCTGGAATGGTAGAACTCATCTTCAAATCCTGGGAAAATTTCAAATGCTCAGCTAAAAGAGAATCCGTCTTTTCTTTAGTTTTAACAATTTTCGAGCGGATGATAAATTTTTGGAAAATGGGAAAAATATTACAGGATAGACTCTTGCAATTCATCATGGAGAAAACTGTGGAGCTATCTTGTGTGTATAGTGGATATATTCATAGAGTAACTTCGATTTTAATTGAAGCACATCGATTCATGAGCTTGGATCTGTATACAACATTGTTTATGGATAGGAAAATGGTCAAAGGACTCTTCGATTTTGCTCATTATTTGATTAAACTTGATCCCCAGTCATATCAACGGATTTTGGAACTCTACGTCAGATATCTCTACCAAGCATCGAAAGAAATGCTAAATTACTTAGTATCAAATTGTCAAGCAGTGGAAAAATGCTATGAACAAGTTATGATGATTTCTCAATTGCCGACAAAGGAAGCACAAAAAAATTTAGCAGAAATGGTTCTTAGATTGATGTAAGTTTAAAACATTCCAGGGATGATTGGAATAGCCTTTTCGGAAGTTTTCGAAATATCGGAAATTCCGACTATCTCCATTTCGGAATATTGAAATTTCAGAATTTTTGACCATTTTCGGAATGAAATTCTGAGAGAATAAAATTAGAAATTCAATTCGTATCGGAATGTTTCCTAAGCTTTTTTTCGGAATGAGAGACGGAATAGTACAGTACCCGTCAAAAAACAGAAAGTGGATTTTCGAAAAACTTAAATTTTGGAATTCCTAGAGAAATCCAAAAACAGGGTTTTCGGATTTTTTTTTTTTAAAACAGGGTTTTCGGATTTTTTTTTTTTAGAATTTTAGATTTCCTAGAAATTTTCCACAAATCGGAATTTTCGAATTTCCAGAAAAGTCCAAAACATTGGATTACTTCACAAATCCCAAAAACTGGAATATCGGAGTTTTCAGAGAATTTCCAAAAACTGGAATTTTGAAATTTCTAGAGAAATTCAAAAAGTGAAATTTCGAAAAAATTCAAAACGTTTGAATTTTGGGAGAAAGTTTCTATTTTAAAAATTGAAAGTTTCAAAAATCCGAATTTTTAAAAATCGGAATATTCCGATTTCGAAATTCCAAAATTTTTCACCTTGGAATTTTCGACATTCCGAAATTCCGAATTTTTAAAAATGGAAATATTCCGAGATTTCGAAATTCCAAAGTTTGAAAAAATCGAAATATTCCAAACATCCTTAAAAGCTCTCATAATTACTAAGAAAAAATTAATTTACAGATGGGTTATTGACACAAATGGATTCCGCAACCCGTCTGATAAGTCTAGAGCTCTCATGTTCTGTTCAACCCTTTCTATTCTTCTCGCCAAGAATCTAATCGTCAATCGAGAAGACGTAAACACTAAAATTAAAGATTTCAATGATAGTTGGGGTCAATCGAGCCTCCTAGATTGTCCAAAAATGAGTGCCAATGTATTTAAAACTATACTGAATTCCGAACACTCTACGGATCAATCGATTCACTTTGGTTTTCTGTTAATGCACACTTATATCAATGTCGAATGCTTTTTGGAATCGAAAGAATTGTGGAATTGGATGAAAACTATATCGGAATGGTATCGAAACAGTCGAAAAGCGACGAAAAACACAAGAGAGTCAACAGCAGCGATTCTGGATGAAATGAGAATGGTCGAGAAACAATGGTGGTCTCAATTTCTCCCTGTATCAGAATTTTTCTAATGTCCCTCTCTCAATTTTAAAATACGATATTTTTTTAAATGAATTTTGAGATATTCAAACTAATAGTTTTTAACGCTTACTGTAAAACCTGTATTAGAAGGGCCCGTCATTATATTGTTCCAACAATGTACTTTTGGAGCGCCTTCCTATTTTCCCGGCTACTTTTCTCGAAAATTTGCATCGAAATTGATGAAAATTATAAATATAAACTATGAAAATGTGTGAAATTAAGTTTCCTACACTTTATTCGTTTACAAAAATAGTCTAGCTCTTTTAGTTTTAGAGATATGTGCCTTTAAAGTTGGCCTGCTCAAAAACCCCAGTCCTCCCCTCTCCTGCTCCCGCCGAATGGGTTCAGCAAATTTTAAAGGCGCATAACTCTAAAACTACTGTAGCTAGCACAAAGTTTTTTGCTATGAAAATGTGTGAAATTAGGTTTCCTACACTTTATTAATTTACAAAAATAGTCTAGCTCTTTTAGTTTTAGAGATATGCGTCTTTGAAGTTAGCAGTACACGGGTTACTGTACCGGGGCTCTAGTACCCGGGCTCCGAGATCCGGGCTCCAAAGCTCGATCTGCAGTACCCGGGCTCCAGTGTGGGATTTTCTGCTCCCTTTCCCATTTCTCTTTCTCCCTCGTCATCTCTCGCCTCCACCCTTCACTGTGGTGAAACCTAGGAACGTCTCCAGAAGACTTCAAAATCAGAATTTCGAAAAACAAAAAGTTCGGGTCATTTCTGATCTATCTGTCCAGGTTTCAGCTTAATAGGTTAACTTTGAAGGGGTAAACAGGCACGCGACATAAACATCAACATACAGAATTTGGTGGTTGTTATTAGTAATGATAGAGAGGCGGAGCTTATTTCGTATTATTCTGACAACACAAAAAACAAAACAACATGTACAGGTTAAATCGTTTATTGACTTTTACCATTATAAATTTTACACCTTTGACCTTCGATTTTTCGAACATTCGACACCTTTTTTAACACTTAGTTTAGACCTTTTCCACTTTTTACACCTTTCACACCTTTTAAAAACTCTTCTCACTCATTTTTCAAACCTTTACTTTTGATAATCATATTTTTTGTTAGTTTTTGGTTACTGTAATTTTTGATAGTCCATTTTTTTGGTTTTAGTCCAAACACAAGTCCAATTTTTAGTCCAATTTACAAATTATAGTCCAATTTTAGATTATAGTCCAAACGTTCCGGCAAATTTTATATCACGCCTTCACGAATTTAACTAGCTACTAATCCAACACCAAATCCCAAAACAACGACCGCTAAAACCCAAAACCTGAGAGGACAACGAAGACAAGAAACCACGAAAACCGAAGAAAATCCCGCGCAACGAAAACAAAAGAAGAAAAAAAGAGATCACAAAAAACAATCAAGTTCACAGAAATTTCCAGCCGAAGTCCATCGACATCCCTCGGAAAATCCGTTGAATCCATCTGAAAATTTTTAGAATAATTTCAAGAAAATTGATATTTTTCTTACTGTACTTGTCCCAATTTTTAGAATTTGTGAAAACGTCGATAGAGCTGCTGAAGGGGCGTTCTGAAATTGCGATAGTTTTTTTTGTATTAAACAGATTTCAAATTATTGAAAAAATCAATAAAAGTGAACTATCATTTTTTAAAAACCCACTTTGAACTCCATCGAAACGTTCCGATCTCCGTTGGATCCGCTGGACAAATCAGCTTTCCAGATCGAAGAATTCTGAAAAAAATTGTTTCAGAATTTTCAGAAAACTCAGAAATCAGAACCCTACTTTTTTGAAAAAAAAAACAAAATGAATAATTTTGAAAAATTGGTTAGTCACGATTTCGAAAAAAATTATGAGTTCACGTTTTAAATATCGGAAAATCAAAATTTCAAAATTTCAGAACTTGAGATTTCCAGAATTTGAAAATCTCAAAATCTCAGAATCTCAGAATTTCAGAATCTCGGAATCTCAGAATCTCATAATCCCAGAATCTCAGAATCTCAGAATCTCAGAATCTCAGAATCTCAAAATCTCAGAACCTCAGAACCTCAGAAACTCAGAATCTCAGAATCTCAGAATCTCAGAATCTCAGAATCTCAGAATCTCAGAATCTCAATATCTCAGAATCTCAGAATTTCAGAATCCCAGGATCTAAGAATCTCAGAATCTCAGAATCCCAGGATCTAAGAATTTCTATTTTAAGAATTTCAAAACTTCGTCATTTCGGAATTTAAGAACACTACCGTTTCAGAATCTTTAAATTTCGGATTTTCAGAATCTCAGATCCTCGAATTCTAAGAGTTTCAGAATTTCAAAATCTCACCTGTTGATCGTTGTCCTTCACATCCCCCAGAGCTCAATGAATTTCAGTCTAGTCAAAATAACCATCTCCGCATTTACACCATAAAGGTATCGCTTGCAAACAGGCCGAAACCCGAGAGAAGGCAATAATACATTTACCCAGGGTTACTAGGATCCGTACACCTATCAGCAGAATCTAACAAGCCACCCAGCTCCAGATAGATCCCTCAAGGTTTATTGGCGAAAATTTGCAGATGGTGGGCAAGAGCTCGTCTTATGATACAAAATAGTACCAAGGCGACGACCCTATGTGTCAGATGGGGTCGGAGGCACCCTCAGTGTTCCGAGCGTCCGGCTGAATTGCCAAAATACAATATCTGGGACTCAAAACGCCGGTACAAAATTCAAGAACTTTCTGCAGTTCTTATCAGTTGTACCACCCTTTAAAACTGAAAAAAAAACGACCCCGTCTCTGCTCGCTAAAGACTTATGAGTCTTAGAGAAGTTTAGGTTTCAGTTTTTTCCCGATAGTTCTGGTTTACACATTTCGAGGCAGACTGCCAAGGTTTGCCGGTGTGCGCCGACCACGTCTAACTGACACAGACCCAAATTTCAACATTTTCCGAAAATTCGTATTGCTCTGGGGTGTTTTTTGGATCCTTCCAAGGTTGCAACGTCTCGCAAGTCTGAAAAAATGACATTTCAGAATTTCCAAATTTCAAAACTTCAGAATCTCGAAATTTCGTAATCTCAGAGTTTCAGAATTTCCGAGATTCTGAAATTCAGAATCTCGAAACTTCAGAATTTGTGAATCCCATGATTTTAGAAATTTCAGAATTTCCGAATTTCCAGATCTCATAAGAGCCATACAATTTCAGAATCTCAGAATTTCTTTTTTTTTCTCAAATTTCTGAATTTCTGATATTCTGAATTTCCAAATTTCGAATTTCAGAATCTCGAAATTTCTGAATTGGTGAATCCCATTCAAAATTTCGGAATTTCGAAATCCTAGAATTTCCAAATTTCAAAATTTCCGAATTTCACAATCTCAGAATACCAAAATTTCAGAATCTCAAAATTTCAGAACTTCAATATTTCTGAATTTCCGAATTACTGATTTTCAAAATTTCAGAAATTTCAGAATTTCGGAATTTCAGAATTTCAGAATTTCTGAATTTCAAAAATTCGGAATCTCAGAAATCCTAGAATTTCAGAATTTCAAAAATTCGGAATCTCAGAAATTTCAGAATTTCAGAATTCCGGGATTTCAGAATTTCAGAACTTCAAAAATTCAAAATTCCAAACTTTCAGAATTTCAGATTTTCATAGTTTTAGACTCACCCTTTTTCAATACGGAGAGCGCCCTTCTTTTTGGTTGGAATAATTTTTTTTTGAATATTTCAAAATCCTTCACACATAACCACGTCATCAAAAAAAAAACTAGGCGCTCACGTAGGCGTAGCACTTTTTTCTCACGTGAATTTTTAAAGTTCGTGACCTATTTTTTATGTACGCCAATCTCAGAATTTCGAAACCATCATGTAGAGGGGTCACCTTGGGGAGTGTTGGATTCCCCGTGACGGCTCCAGAGAAACAAGCTACCTCTTTGTGCGTGATGTCTGGCAAATTAGGGGAAAGTGCATCGGTAACAGGGGAACTAATTATGTCTGTAGCGAGGAGTGGGACGACGAGCGGGCAGATAAGCGGTGTGGAAACAATAGTAACAACAGTAGTATCAGTGACCCATTTATTGAGCGGTATATATTTAGTAAAGAGAATATATCGTCAATAAGAGGTTTCCTCGGAGTCGGGCTGGCTTGGAGACGGACGAGAAGGACATCACTGATCACTCAATAGTCGAAGGGGCAAAAAGCCTTGGGCAACAAAAACCCTTCTCCTACCGGTGACAAGCTTATCGCTTCTCTTAGACAAAGTTCCCAATAGCACACGCTTCCTAGTGGTCACGATGAGAGCACTGAAAGGAAAACACTCATGAAACAGGTCACAGAACTGGCCGTTAGTCTATTCAGAAGGAAATCTATATCAACTCACACCATTAGCGGTTTCCTATAGTCCAATAAGGCCGGTAAGGCGATCGGGGATCGCTGGAGGACTTATAGTATTGGAATAGTAGGAATAATGATGAGTAATGAGGTTGACGGACTTGCAAACTGAAGGGAAACGTCACGGAACAGCACTGACTGCTATACAGGAATAATCTGAGTAAAAACGCAGTAAAACTACGTAAAACTCTATTAATCTGAATAGAAAGTAGGCCAGTAAACCCGTTTCGAGTGTGTGTGCGCCTTGAACCCCTTCGTGGCGAGACCTCAACGATAGGGCGCGCTTGCACGAAGGAAGAGAAAATTGGCGGGGATTTGAATATGAGGAAGCAATAAAAGGCTAATAAACAAAGGAAAATAAAGAGAATAAAGTGGGAAATAGGAAGATTTCTGAGGAGTAAGCACAGTGGGCTGGGCCTAGAGGTCCTCAGAATATCTTAAAGTTGTTGAGTCGGTGAATAGCCACGTGGACTCGACAACACATCACCTGGAACCCTGGAATCCTGGAATCCTGGAATCTTGGAATCTTGGAATTTCGGAATCCTGGAACATAGGAGTTCTAGAATCTAGAATCATAGGAGGCAATAAGATTGATGTGTTTGTCGAATTGAAGTTGATCATCAACTAGTATACCTAGGTCCTTGAATGAGCGATGCGGAGAAATGGGGGATCCCTTAATAAAGTAAACTGTCTTAGGATTGCGTTTACCATAATGCATAACGGCCGTCTTATTTTCGGCTAGTTTGAGTCTCCAGATGTCACACCAGGGCTCGACGATTTCGATACTTCTCTGCATATCCAATGGGTCGGAACTGGTTATTTTTAGGTCGTCGGCGAACGCCGTGACATGAACATTGGGAGGAAAGAGGCCGAGTAAGTCGTTAATGTAGATCAGAAACAAAAAGGGGCCAGTGACACTTCCTTTGGGGGACTCCGGATTTGACAACAATCTCGCTGGTTGACATTAGGCCATTAACCTTGACGTTGGATGAGTGGTTGCTGAGAAAGGACTCGAACCAATCGCAGCATCGTTCATCAATACCTATTCGCCTCACTTTAAGAAGAACGCGAATTGAATGGAGACGCAGCAGAAGAACGCAACGTGGATTATAGCGACCCTTGGGATAATTGATATTTTTTGAAAATTTTGTTGAATTTCTCCCTTTTCCCCCATTTTTCAAACTAAAACCTACAAATCTGCCTCTCCAAAAATCTCATATATCGTTTTTTTTCGGAAAAATCGATTTTTCCATATCTCCCCCCTATTCATTTCTGCCCGAAAAATGCAAGCTTTTTCTCTATATTTTGACCTTTTTTCCGTTCAAAATGACTGGAAATTCCAGCCTTATTTTCACTTATTTTTGAAATATTTTTCTGCCAAAACTCAAAAATTTTCCTCTAATGATCTGCTCCATTTCTATCTCTACTGTCTCCCCGGTCCACCGTCAGGACAACTCTCATTTTCCCTTATATCGATTTTGTTGGCTAAACGGTATTTTTTTGTTATATTGTCTATTCAAAATAATCGCGCGGATGAACGAGTAAAAAAACCTGTAGAGGCGCTGTAGAGACGCAGACATTTTCACTCGTTCACTCGCGCGATTATTTTGAATAGACAATCCTCAAATTTTTTCCCCGAAAAAATCCCCGTTTTTTTATATATCTCCCCCACCAATTATCACGAGAAATTTCATTTTCTCCTCTTATAGTATTTTTTTAAATACTGAAATTTTGGATAAAAGTCTGAATTTTTTTTAAAAAGATTTTTGTTTAAAAACTGGAAGTTCTGAAAAAGAAAGTTAATTTTTTCTTCAACATTTATTGTGTCGATAATCTTAAATTTGGATACTTTTTTGTAGAGAAGCTAACTAGAAATCTCTTACATTTCGGTTCTCAATGCTACTCTCAAAAAAGATACAACTCATAAGTCGTAGAATAATAGGACCGAAATAATCCTGTAAGAGAAGAAGCTTTATTAAAAATTTGAACACTGGAAACAATTGAGAATTCCAAAAAATAAAAGAAACCTCTAAAAACTGAAAAAATTAAATCAAGGAAAATCTCCTCCAGTATCTTTCTTATCACTCATCATGGCGATTGCTAATCTCTCCTTTTTCATATCCATTTCCAATTCTTTCATCAATTCTTCGGGATCTTGTCCGTCCAATGGGTCCGCCGATTTCCGAGCTGTGATCAGTTGATAATCACCCATTTTTGGATCATTGTGATAGTTGATCTGGAAATTTACAGGAATTCAGAATATTAGAAAATTAGAAATTCAAGATTTCAAAAACTCCAAAAAAAAACTGAAACTCAAAAATTTCGAAAATTCTTAAATTCGGAATTCCTGAATTCCAGAAATTCAGAAACTTCAATTTAAAAAAAATTTCTACAGTAATCCTTAAAAATGAATTACCTGAACATCGCTGAATTCCGCTTGCTCCAATGTCCATAAATATCTCAAAGGGTCCCATTGAGTCTCTTCAAGAATTCCATGGTCCGTCAACGTCTTCAACCTTCTGAATTCCATTCCACACGTCAGAATCCCTCCCGGCTTCAGAACTCTCAACAGTTCTCGATTGATGTCAATCAACGCATCGTTTTGCAGAAAATAGAATAAATCCACGTGGAAAACATGATTAAATAGGTCAGTTGGATACGGTAGATTCCTCAAATCGACTGCCGAATCGATTCGAATTTTGTCGGTTTCCGCGATTTCCAAAACGAATCGTTTCGTCGCTTTTTCGTTCATATAGCCCGATCGCTCGACTCCGAACACCTCAAATTTTGATTTTGGGATTTTTTTCAATTTTCGTTTTTTTTGGATTATTGAATTTTGATCAGAGATGTCAGGAAGTAAAATTTTTGAACTCGAAAGTCGGAAGTCGGAAGTAATGGGGTTATTCAGGGAGTCGGCAATTTCATTTTTTTTAAATAGCCTACTGTTATTTCGGAGCATAATTTATGGTATTGGCGCTAATTCTGAACATTTTTCGATTTTTCTGGTCAAAAATTTACAAATTTCGCAACATTTTGTGCAAAAATTCATTGGCGGAATTTGAAAGTCTGAAGCCGGAAGTAAAACTGATTTTCCGGAAGTCGGAAGTCGGAAGTAAAATTTGAACTAGGAAGTCGAAATTCGAATGTGAAAAATGCCCGGAAGTCAGAAGTCGGAAGTCGGAATTTCTGACATCTCTGATTTTGATACCGTAAAACCTGTATTAGAAGGGCCCTCCGAGAGGGGCTCGGAAAAATAGAAGGGCCGGCCCTTCTAATACAGGTTTTACGGTATTTTAGGATTTTTTCATGATTTTTTGGATTAAAAATTGGAAAAATTAACAAAATCAACGTATTCAAAAAACATTTTTTTAAAAATCAAATTCCAAAAATTGAAAAATCTGAGAAATAATCATTTTTCTGAATAACTATTTTTAATCAATTTTCTCGATTCTTCCGCTTAAAATATTGTCAGGTGGCCTAGAATAATTCCTAGGCCACCTCCTCCTTACCATTCCCCTTCCATCCTTCACTCGATCATAGCACATTTTCATCGCGTCTCCCCGCCCAAAACCAATTTCAAACACGAAATCGTCTCGTCCCGGATCCATTCTCTCCACAACTTTCTCATTCAAATTTCTGGATTTTTTCGCAGTGAAATTGCTGACGACCAGTCCGGTCATTGATTTGACCGGAAGCGCGTATTGATTAGCCAAATCACTTGTCGCCAATTTAAACGAATTCGCTAGGAGTTTTGTGAAGCGAGATGAGCTCATCTGGAATCTTGTTTTTTTTTTTGAAAATCCGAAAATTTGAAATTTTGAAAAAAATTCCAGAATTTTTTTCAGAAAAATTTCATATTTTTTTTTCCAAGTTTTTTAAATTTTGATGTTACTTTATCAGTTCGAAATTGCGAAAAATTCAGAATTTTCGAAAAAAAAATCATTTTTTTGAAAATCTCAAAATTTCAGAATTTTTGGTATTTTGAAAACAATTCTTTTAGAATTTGTTTTCCAAATTCAAAATTTGCATTCTTTTTCATATTTTAAGCCAAAAAATTTAAGACTTTTTCGAAAAAAAATTTCTGAAACATTTCAGAAATTTTTGAATTTTTAGACTTTTTTTGATGATTTTCAGATCTTCCTCTATTTTCAATATATATTTTCATAGCGAATCAAATATTCACAAATAAAAACTTCAAAACTTCCTGAAAAAATGCTCAAAATCATGAGTTTATTGTGTGTTTGCGTTTCGAGATTCATAAATGGGTCATTGCAAAAAAAATTTCAAAATTTTCAGAAAAGCAAATTTGCTCTATTGACAACTTCCTTTAAATGGAGCGCGTTTGTTGTAAGAAAAACCGTGAAAAAAAACACTTTTTAAAAACCAAATTCGCTCTATTGGTAAATGTTCAAATTTCAAAGGAAAAAAGTAAAAATAGAGCGCGTTTGCTTAAAAAATTCAATTTTTCGGTATACTTAAAAATCGGATATCAAGGGGAAATGAGATTTGTCGTGATGATGGACCGGGAAGACAGGAGAGAAAGAGAGAGAGAGAGAGAGAGAGAGAGAGAGAGAGAGAGAGAGAGAGAGAGAGAGAGAGAGAGAGAGAGAGAGAGAGAGAAACGGAGCAGATCATTCGGGTGGAAAATTTTAGAGTTCTGACAGAAAAACAATGGAATTTCCAGTCTTTTTGACTGAAAAATTGTCAATATAAAGAGAAAAAACTCGAATTTTTCGGGCAGAAATGAGTAGGTTTTTTTAGGGTGCGTTTTTTAGGGTGAGGTTTCCGAAAAGAAAAAAAAACAACGATATATGAGATTTTTGGAGAGGTAGATTTGTAGGTTTTAGTTTGGAAAAAAGGGGTAAAAAGGAAAAAAATTCAACAAAGTAAACAACAGAAAAAATAGATGAAAAATTAACGAAAATTATACAAAAAAGAATCAATTATTGATCGATAATCGAGTCGAGACGGGCGGTGACAAAGTCCTCGAGTTGGCGGGAAAGTTGAAAAATTTCACTTTCCGTCTCGTTATACGTCTCACAGTTGGTGAGAATCTGCTGGAAATCGGTGCGGATCTAGAAATATCGATTTTTAGAGATGTTTGGGATTTTCGGAAAATTGCGAAAATCCATTTCCGAAAAATCGATCACTTTATAATCTTAGAATATCAGAATTTTGAGGCTCCGGTACGTTTCAGAACCCGACGTTTCGGAACCACGACGTTTCAGAACTTTTCTGTATATTGGTTTTTTCACACCAAATGAGCAATGCTCAGTGGGTTCTGAAACGTCGTTATTTCAAAACGTCGGGTTCTGAAACCTCCCAGAGGCCCTAGCTTTGGGATTTTTCAGATTCAGCCATTTTCATTTCCTTGCTCACCTCCGCTGGCTTATTATAGACCCGTTGCTTGATCTTATTCATCATCGTTCTCAAATCCATTGGCTGCTTAATCACTTCATGATAATCTGGAACTTCTTTTGGATCAACCGGTTGGAGGAATGGCCATGAGCACTCCTGACGCATCGTTTCTTTTAAGAGTGTCTCAATCAGTGTCATTTTCTCCTTATTCGTCGGTTTTTGGATCGATGAATCGATTATTGTTGGGGCGGAGAATGATTTCTTGGCATTCGTTGATTGAGATAGCGTTTTTCGTTTTTTCGAATTCTCGCCGTCCTCCGAATAGTCCTCATCGTCAATCATACCATTTTCGCTGTCCACATCGTAGCTGAAAATTTGAAAATATTGATTTTTCTGTGTCCAGATCAGTGTGTCCTTTCGATAAGACTTCGAGAAATTTTCCGAGAAATTTCTCGAAAAATCTTAACTATGCACGCTCCCCACAGAACAATTCCGAACTGCAAATCAATTTTTGATCGTTTTCCGGAAGAAAAAATGTCAAAAATGGTTGAAAGTTTTTTACAGAAAAAATCTATCTCCTTTTTCAGTTTTTGACATTTCTAGGAGATCGATAGCTCAAAAAAACCGCAATTATTTTCTCTACCTTCTCTAT